AAAAAAAAAAAAAAGAAGAAAACAAAAGAGAATAACTCATTTGTTGAGATGGGTAGGCTGGTAAAGCATTTGATAATAGATAGGTCCAGTTTTCTCTTGAACCTGAGAGTATGTCTGACTTATTGACTTATTTGTTCTTCAAAGGTTTATTAAGCACCAATTTACATCAGGCCATATGTTGGGTACTAGATATCCAGAAATTTATAAGACCTTATAATTTGATATTTTTAAAATTGTTTTGTGTCTTAAACACTTACTATTGAGCACATTGCTAAAAATCCTTATTCTGAATAGCCTTCATTTCAGGAATGCAATCAGTGACTGCTTTGATAGAGAGGAAATTGGCAGCTTAGCTGAGGGCAGCACATCCCTAGTTCATAAGTGAAGACTTAACACTAACTACCAAGAACTGTTCTAAGCACTCTAAGCAAATTAACTCATTTGATCCTCAATCAGAAGACATAGTACTTACTAATCAGAAGACACTGCTTTGACGTAGTCTTTCTATGTATTTATTTTACCTGCCACCAATCATCGCACTACCACAAAGAATGACGAAGTCCCAGGGACCTTGGGAAGAAGAGGTGTGGTCCCTGAGAAAAGGGTTGAGGGGGACTGGAGTGAAAATTTTGTACCAAATGGAAGTTTTTCAAAAAGGCATAGACAACATTTATCTCTCCAAACAAATGGATGTAGCAGTGAGCATAACGGTTTCTTTAAGCCGTGTTTACTAACATGAGTAGCAACATCTTCCTAGGTATGAGGCCACCCCAAGTGTAGTTGAAAAAATAAATAGACTAGAAACTGAGCCATAAGCACATGCAGTTTATCATTTCACTCTCGTGAGGTCAGCAGACATCTGTAACCCACTTTCCCTATAGCAGCTAACAAAGGCAGGATGACGGTATCTGTTCTGAACATTTGAGACAACATTACCACTTGTCTTTATAGATTTCCTCAGGCACTAAACATAGGACCTGAGAAACATCAATGTCAAGGACCATACTGCTACATTCTATGAGCTGGAGATGAACAAGGGTTCTCTTGAGGCCTCTCCAGTCACAGGAATAATGGTCTTGAAAACGTCAATGCTCCATCTGCCTTGTATATTGTAATCTTCTCCTGTAGTCCATCTGAGGCCAGTGTGCACAGGACCACAGTAAGACGATGAGTATTCCTGATGACAAATCTGATATTTCATTCTACTTCTTCATGTGATATCCCAAGTATTTTTTCCTAGAGGGCGAAAAATAGATTCTTAAAATTCCAAGTTAGATTTACTGTTGAAGTGAAAACATATGCCTGCTCACTCTGCTGTATCCCAGGCATGACCCAAGGCTCAGGAGACCATGTTAGTCTGGGGGAGGGTTTGGAGAGGTGACTGGCATTCTTGGTATGCTTGCAAGGAAAACATCAGCTAAGGTCTTATGTTACACACCCAGAGCTAGCAGGCTAAATCTTTTCTTGAAGATGGGAAGGTTTCAAGGCTGTATTTAAAATTTTTTAAAAAGTGGGTACTGAAAGGTCAATGACTATGGAGGTTACAAACATCTCCTTTCAAAGTGCTATAGAATGGGTGAGGTTGGCAGGACTGCAGGGTAACTATGTGAATGGTGCTCCACAGGGAGAATGAAGAGCCAAGGAGTAAATTGGAATCTCGTGGTAGCTTGTTTGGCACGCCTTGTAGATAGAGTTGCTATTCATTCATTTGACCGATTCATTCATCATTCTACAAGTACTGGCTGAACATGTACGGTGTTATGTAGAGGAATGGGAGCTATGGGAGATTGAAGGAGTTATCATAAAATACATGATCTCACCCTTACAGATTTGCAGTTTAGTTGGGAAGATGAGATGTACTCGTATGAAATGTGGAATACTGAGAGAGTTAGGAACCCTGAGCCTCTGGAAAGCTCGTGCATAGGAATCAATTTCTCTCCTCCCACGCTACTACAAGGACAGCGCAGAGAGCCATAGAGACACTTGGTGCCAGTGGAAGTCCCAGGAGGCTTACTTCCCAGTGTCTTCTTTTTTTCCTGTTAAGGGACTCTAAGCACATGTCCCAGGCCACATCTCCTTCACACTTCCATAGCTCATAAATATTCTTTATCAACATCCTTTTTTTTGTTCTACACTTTGGAAAAATTGGTCATTCTTCTCACATTCTTTTCTTCCCTTTCCTAATTTCTACTTACATGCTCCAAATTACACTTAACTATGGCCAAGAGTTAAGATTAAGGTTTATGATAAGAAATGGATAAGAAATACATTTTGAATGGAAACTACGGATGTTAAAGAACTAGTGCTGTCAATTTCTAAAGCCTTTGGAAATCTGCTTTAGTATTTCTACTGAATAATTCATGTTTTTTCTCTAATTGGAACGTTTTTTTTCTCCAGTACCAGCAGCCAAATTAAAAAACTATGCATTAATTTCTCTTTCCCCTTTTTGATTACTAGAATTAGAACTGCCAGTTTTGTAAAAGATTTATTGAAATATAATTGTGCTATAAAATTCGCTAATTCAGTGAATTAGTATATTCCCGTTTAGTATAATCACAGAGTTATGCAAACATCACCTCTGATTTTAGAACATTATCATCACTCCAAAAATAAACTTCAGATCCATTAGCAGTTATTCCCACTCTCTCACTCTCAGCTCCTGGCAACCAGTCTACTTTATGTATCTATACATTTGCCTATTATGGACACTTCATATACATGGAATCATACAGTATACAGCCTTTTTGCCTGACTTTTTTTCGCTTAGCATAATGTTTTTTTGTTGTTGTTGTTTTTTTTTTTTTTTTTTTTTTTTTTTTTTTT